CTTGGGGTGCCTGGCTGACTCAGTTGGTAGAGCATGCAGCTCTTGATCTCAGGGTCGTGAGTTCGAGCCCCACGATGGGTGTAGAGATTACTTTAAATAAATAAACTTAAAACACACACACACACACAAAGGCTGGTAGGCTCAATACTCAGGAAAAGCCAGTACTTCAGTTTTAGTGTAAAGGCAGGATGTGACTAATGTCTTAGCTCAAAGCATCCAGGGTCAGGAGGAGTTCCCTCTTACTATTGGGAGGGTCAGCCTTTTTTGTTCTATTTAGTCCTTCAACTGATTGGACAAGGCCCACCTACATTAGAGAAGGCAGTCTGTTTTATGTTGTCTACTGATTTAAATGTTAATCTCATCCAAAAACATCTTCACAGAGGTCCCCTGAATAATGTGCACCCCATGGTCTGTGAAATCAAGTTGATGCATAAAATTAACCATCAGACCCTGCTACCCATCCCCATAGCCTCTGCCCTGATTTGGGCCTATATTAATTTGCTACCCCTGCCATCACTCTTAGTTTCTCAAACTATAACTAGACTCAAGTCCCAGCAGTCCCCAAGTTAGATACAAAGTATGACCTATGAGGAGATACATTACACTCCAAAAAGAATTTATATGTATAGAAATCTAGAGAATACATGTAGAATAGGTCATAAAAGGATAGGATCATAGTGGATGGAATATCAAGTTGGATCAGGCAGAATTTATTGGTCTGTGCCCACTCAGCAGAGACTCCAAATTCAGTCTTTTAGATTGAGGGGTTAGAAGAGTCTTTAATATGTTGGTTAGTTGACTAAACCATGGACCCAAAGGTGGCCTATACGAAATGAAGTTAAATGCCAGAACCTCTTTGGCATATTGTAGAGGAAAGTACCCGAAAGCTTGGAGAGATTGGTACGTTAGAATGAACTTACCATGTAAGACCTGTTCACCAGCTCTGGGAGGGTCAAGAGGACACACCTTTCACCACCACTGTGAAAAACTTGTGAGGGGAGCCTCAGCATTCTTGAAGAGTTCTGTAGTCACCCTTCTCTGTAGGTCAAACATTACAGTAGGAACTGCAACCACCAAATTGGGATTCCTGATGCAATGAGGATAATGGGACTCTGGAATGGCAGGTACTTAATCAACAAGAAAAGAGGGATGTGGTTACTGTAATTGGATAACTGAGCCAAAGCAATAATCACAATAGTCTGACTCATAGAGACCTATGGCATTTGGATAATAGGTCATGGTTCCTTTGTGGAAGACTGAGAGAAAGATTAACAGTATAAAATTCTGGCATTGTAGCAGGGTCCTTCCTCAAGGAAACCTGGACTCCACTTCAAGAGGTTCTTGGTCTATAAATTGGCTCAAGTCTGAGAATCGATTGAAGGGCCATTATGACTCTGTTTTGGTCATCTAAGATATATTACTGTTCACTCAACCTAAACTCGTATGCTTATAGAGGCAGGAATCCATGCTGATCCATGGGCTGTGCTCAGTTATTTGGCTGGATGGTCTCAGGGGACTTGAAAGGAACATTATTGGAAAGTTGGTGACAAGGAGATCTGGGGAAGAGGTAAATGTATAGTTCTCTCCAGGCAAAAGATATGAAAATATTTATCTTCCATGTTAATGCTCACTGAAGGGTAACCTCACCATTTAGTCAGTCAGTCAGTCAGTCAGTCAGTCAGTCAGTTGTCAGTCAATAATTCACTCACTCACTCATCACCAAGGCATGATCCCATAATCATACGACCTTTGAACAAAATGGGAGTTAGGGGCAGCAACATGCTACACTGTTAAAAACCCACATGTAACTTTTGACTCTCCCAAAACTTAACTACTAGTAGCTTATTGTTGCCTGAAAGCCTTCACAATAACATAAACGGTTGATTAACACATATTTTATATGGTATATATATCTAAAGTAGAGAAAAGAAAATGTTCTTAAGGAAATCATAAGAAAGAAAAAATACATTTACAGTACTGTACTGTAAAAAAAATCCATATCAAAGTGGACCCATGCAGTTGAAACTAGTGTTGTTCAAGGCCAACTGGGCATATTCTTTGTGTCTGTTCAGGTCTTTGGCACATTTTTAAATCAGGTTTGTTTTCTTACTGTTGAGTTTTAAGAATTCTTTGTATATTTTGGTTCATGGTCTTTTATCAGATATCTTTTGCAAATATTTTCTCCCAACCTGTGGCTTGACTTCTCATTCTTTTGACAGTGCCTTTTGCAGAGCAGAAGTTTCTGACTTTAATGGAGCCTAGCTTATCAGTTATTTCTTTAATGGATCGTGTCTTTGGTATTGTATCTGAAAAATCATTACCATATCCAAGATCATATAGATTTTCTCCTAAGTTATCTTCTAGGAGCTTTGTAGTCCTGTGTTTTATATTTAATTCTATGAGTTAATTTTGTGACGAGTGTAAGTTCTACATCTAGATTGAGTTTTTCCATATGGATATTCAGTTGTTCCCACACCATTTGTTGAAGAGACTGTCTTTGTGCCATTGCATTGCTTTGCTTCTTTGTCAGAGATCAAGTGACTCTATTTAGATGGGTCTATTTCTGGGCTCTGTGTTGTGTCGATTGTTCTAATTGTCTGTTCTTCTATCAATACCACACTGTCTTGATTACTGTACCTTTATAATAAGTCTTGAAGTTGAATAGTATCTGTCTTCCAACTTTGTTTTTCTCCTTCGATATTATGTTGGCTATTCTGGGAATTTTGCCTTTTCCATATAAAGTTTAGAATCAGTTTGTCAATATCTATAAAATAACTTGCTGGGATTTTTATTGGGATTTCATTGAATCTATAGATCAGGTTGGGAAGAACATAGACTGTCATGTCATCTGGAAACAAAGATAGTTTTATTTTCCTTCCCAATCTCTATATCTTTTATTTCCCTTTCTTGTCTTATTGCATTAGCTAAGACTTTTAGTACCATGTTGAAAAGGAGTGGTGAGAGGAGACAGTCTTGCCTTGTTCCTGATACTCGTGGGTAAGTGTTTAGTTTCTCACCATTGAGTATGATATTAGCTGTAGGTTTTTTTGGTAGAGTCTTTATCAAGATTAGGAAGTTCCTTTTATTTCTAGTTTACCAAGAGTATTATCATAAATGGTGTTGGATTTTGTCAAATGCTTTTTCTGCATTTATTTATAGGGTCATGTGATTTTTCTTATTTAGTCTTTTGATGTGATACATGACATTAATTGATTTTTTTTCATGTTGAACCAGCCTTGCATTCCTGGGATAAATCTCACTTGGTCTTGGCATCTAATTCTTTTTATACATTGTTAGTTTTGATGTGCTAACAGTTTTGAAGATTTTTGTCTCTGTGATCATGAAAAATATTGGTCTTTAGTTGTCTTTTCCTGTAATATCTTTGTCTGGTTTTGGTATTAGGGTAATGCTGGCATCATAGGATGAGTTAAGAAATATTTTTTTCTGCTTCTGTTCTCTGAAAGAGGTTGTAGAGAATTGGTATAATTTCTTCTGTGATTGGTGAACCCATGTGGGCTTGGTGTTTTTGGTTTTGAAATGTTATTAATTATTGATTCCATTAGATCTAGGCTTGTTCTCCAGTGCATTTTTCATCTCAGAAATTGTAGTTTTCATCTTGAGAAGTTTGATTTGTCCTTTTTATATCCTAACTTTTGAACATATAAAATATAGTCCTAATAACTAACATTTTTCTGTGCTAATTCTAATAACTCAGTGCTAAGTTGGTTTTAATCGGTTATTCTCTTAATTATGAGTATATTTAGGAAAACATAAGCTTCTTTTAAAACATAAACATGCTTCTTTGCATGCCAGGTAATCTTTAATTAGATGTCAAACATTGTAAATTTTGCCTTGTTGGTTGCTGAATATCTTTGTATTCATATACATTTTTCTGAGCTTTGTTCTGGGATGTAGTTAAATTACTTTAGAGCTTTGCTTTTATAATTTATTAGATTGTGTCTGGATCAGTGCTCAGTTTGGGACTAATCGTTATTCCCCACTGTGGAGGTAAGATCTTCCTGAAAACTCTACCCAGTGCCCTGTGCATTATGAGTTTTTCATGTCTGAGTGGCAGGAACAGGCACTGTTCCCAGCTCTGTGTGAGCACAAGGCACTCTCCCTTGTTAGTCATTCTGATGATTCTGTCCCTAACCTCAGGTTCTCTCTTCCAACATGTGCACAGTACTCTGCTGTGTATTAGAAGGAGACCTCTGTAGATCTCTGGGTTTTCTCCTCTCTGGTATTCTGTCTTACGAACTCTAGTCGCCTTTGTGTCCCTGCACTGTGAGCTGTATCTTCCCAACTCAGTCCACCAGGCTCTACCTCAACACTCCCACCCCTGTGCCACTGCCTGGAGACTTTGAAGGCTTGGGCAGTTAAAGGGCTCACTTCATTTGTTTGCCATTTGTCAAGAATCACTGTTTCTCAGTGCCTGATGTTGAGAGCCATAAAAGCCATTGTTTTTGGATTTTGTCTGGTTGATTGTTTGGTTTATTTATCTATCTATTTATTTGGCTGTTTAAGGAAAGAATGCTTTTGTAATTGGATTCTTACAGAAAAACTTTTTTTTTTAAGTTTATTTATTTTGAGAGAGAAGAGTGAGGGAGGGGCCTAGAGGGAGGGGGAGAGAGAGAGAATCCCAAGCAGGCTTCTCACTGTCAGTGCAGAGCCCAGTGTGGGTCTTGAATTCACAAACCTGTGAGATCATGACCTGAGCTGAAATCAAGAAGCAGTGTCTTAACCGACTAAGCCACCCAGGCACCCCCAGAAACACTTTTTTATTTGTAACCAATGGTCATTGCCACTTGAGAGGTTACATATTTATGTGAGCTATAAGATAAACTCAAATCAGCCAGCAGGAATTTTTGAGGCTATTCTAGGGGTGCTAAACTGATTTCCTGACTCCCTTGTTTCTGGGAATTCTTTGAATTATTTGGTTCTAGTAGCTAGTCCTAAATAATGATTTTATGAAATTCCTAACCATGTTATTTTATTCTCAGAATTAAAAAAAAGAAAGAGCAGCAACGTTACGCTGAGGAGCAGAGGATACTAAGAATGAACTTCCATGAAGAGCCATGTTCAGGAGAGACGATGAGTGAGAAAATAGCCCAGCTACAGCTTGAGGAAGTAAAAGGAGCCAGAGAAAAACAACAACAGAGAGAGAAGGAATGCCAAAGGTATTTTGAAAAGTTCTGCATAAAGTCCTGGCTCTAGCGGAATAGCACTGTATTTCCTCCCGTGCTATTTCCCAGTACAAGAGGAAGAGTTGAGGCATGGAGATGTGAAATAATTTTACTAGTGAAAGCTGGTGAAATAAGGACTCATGCTCATTCTCTTCCTAGTGGTTCACTTTGCCTGATCTTACTGTTATCTTTATATAGATATACGGAAGCTCTAAGAGCCCAGATCCAGGAGAAAATGCAGCTGTATAATATTACTTTACCTCCACTATGCTGTTGTGGTCCTGATTTTTGGGATGCGCATCCTGATACCTGTGCCAACAATTGTATTTTCTATAAAAACCCTAGAGGTAAGCTTCTTAAAGGAATGGTTGGGGCCTGGTGGCAATGAAACAAACAAACAAACAAACAATAAATGTAGTGATTGTAGTAATTTAACATTCATTGTTTGTTTACTAGATATCAGTGACTGTTATAACTCCTTTACAAAGCAACTCTTGAGACAATAAAAATAATTATAGTGAGTTAAAATCCTTTTTGAGATCTGTTACCTTCTTGTCTCCATTTATGCTGGGGAAATATTTCCGTTCCACCGTAGGGAGACTTGGATTCCAGGTCCTCCTGTGAATGAAGAAATGAGAGCTTGTGTTTTAGGGCCATCGAAGTTAGGCCTCTGTCCAGTTACATTCCCTACTGCCCAAATACTTTAATGTTATTTAACATAGACTTATTACCATCTGTATCCACATTAGACTGCCACTTCTGCCAGGTGACACTGAGGAAAATGAGGACCAGTATCAGCTCTATATTCAGGAATCCCAGCTACAGAAAAACAGAGTCCTTGTTATTGTCACCAATGTTTCTGTTTCCTGGCTGTCCTTAAATATATTTATTTATTACATAGGGTAGAGATTGTGTAGGCTTCATGTGCATACCAAAAATACTGCCAGTATTTGTATTCCCCCTGCCCTGTCTGTGTGATACAAGTTCCTAATCAATTCTGTGAGTTAAATTTTAAAAACACAAATCTTATCATGCCATTCCTCTATTTCTAAAACCTCTAGGGTTCACCATTACAGTACGAAATGCATGCCATATTTAGCATATTTTCTCTCTGGCCCCAGGTGACACTCCAGCCTTATCAGACTTGCTACTTCCAGTACACATCACTTTCTTTTATACCTTTTGTGCCATCTATTTTTCTGCCCGGAAGGCCGCCTTTCCTTTACTCTTATTAATCCTCCTAGACCATCTTAAATGTTACTACTTCTGGAAATCTTTTCCCTCTTCCCGGATGTGTTTTCATTCATTCTGAAATTCATTATGTGACAACATTTTGTATATGCCTCTGGTTTGAAAGTATTACCCTGAAACTTAATTATCTCTGTGTCCATCCTCTTCATTATCTTTTCTGTCCTCACAGAGTGCTTGGCATGTACTAAGTACTCGATAAATATGTATTCAATGAGTAGGCAAAGTTAATACCTATGAGACTTAGTAGAGAAGCAGTACTAATGGGAAGGAAGTGGGGAGAGTAGTGGAGAATCTGACTGACTTCATCACCGTGCAAATCTTTATTTGCAGCATATACCCGGGCACTACATTCGGTCATCAACTCCAGTGATATCCCTGTGGGGAACTCAGCTCTTCGAGTCGCCATGCATAATTTGGTTTCTGCACACAGACGGACTTTGAAAAATGTGTAATGAGAATCTGAATCCAACTGTTAGTATTTCAGTCTTCATTTAAAACCAACCCTGAGAGGGGCACCTGGGTGGCGCAGTTGGTTAAGCGTCTGACTTCAGCCAGGTCACGATCTCGCGGTCCGGGAGTTCGAGCCCCGCGTCGGGCTCTGGGCTGATGGCTCGGAGCCTGGAGCCTGTTTCCGATTCTGTGTCTCCCTCTCTCTCTGCCCCTCCCCCATTCATGCTCTGTCTCTCTCTGTCCCAAAAAATAAATAAATGTTGAAAAAAAAAAAAAAAAAAAAAAAAAAAATAAAACTAACCCTGAGAGATTATTTAGGAAAAACTGATAAAGTGTATAAGATATGTAATCTAGAAAGACTGTCCCACGTAACAACCGTCTCTATAATTAGATCATTACCATTGTTTCAGTCTGTGCTTGGGGCTGAAATTGAAAGCTGGCTTCCAAGCTTGTGTTTTTGCCGTGAACTGTGTGGAGTCTCTTGTTTTTAAAAAATGATCAGTTAGACCAGTAAGTTTTTTTTACTTAGCTCTGCTCTGATTAGAAGAGATCATGAGAAATCATTGAGATTATCTCATTTATTGCCTTTTTAAAACTCTTTCTTTGAGTCTTGACAAAACTGGAAATGTCTAGATAAAACAGAAAAGATGATGAAATGGGTTTCTGAGCATCAGTGGCCATCTACATTCCTGTTAGCTGTTCTAGTTGTATATAGCGATTAGAGATGAGAAGAATCTGAATTTGATGCACATTTTGTTTTCCTCAAGATTTTTCTCTCCTGGCTTTTAAACTTATTGCCTCTTTCCCCATTCAGTGCCATTGGCCATAGTACTTTATAATTTTATAATTTTGTACTGTAAAAACAAGGTAAATAAACCCTCTGTCTTTTGAGCTTCTTCTATGTGAAATAATTGTGAGTGACATTTCAAAAAGTAAATCTGAAGTCACAGTGAGTAAAGGTCCTGCCTTATTTCCCTATCTTCTAAAAAGCTGAAGAATGGTATATCTACAGAGCAGATGAAGTAAAAATTTCTGTAGTTAGTGTGAATTTGTTATTTCATCACTGATTTCCTGACACAAAATATGAAAAGGTTTAGTATTGAATTAAAGGTACTGAGAATTTCTTTTTCCAACTTTCTCTAATGATCAGTGTTGAAGAAGCACATAGGTTACATCTCAAAAAACTCCTAAACATCAAGCCAGGTCATCAAAAATAAGGGTCAAAATTACCTGTATGACAAGATTGACTGGTTATTTAACCAGATTAATAATCCAGTTCGGTCAAAATCTTTAAGTATTTGTATCCATGATTCAGCCTTTAAGAGTTGTATTTCTAACAGTTTTATTGAGATATAATTCATATACTATGTGATTAACTCATTTGAAATGTGCAGTTCAGTGGTTTTTAGTATATTCTAGGATTGTGCAAGTGTCACCACTGTCAAATTTTAGAATAGTTTCGTCATTCTAAAGAGATGCCCCCATAATCCAACAATCCCACTACTGAGTATGTATCTGAAATAATTGGAAGCAGGATCTCGAACAGATATTTGCATACCCATGTTCATGGCAGTATTACTCACAGTGGCCAAGAAGTGGAAGCAACCCAAGAAGTGTCTGTCGACAGATGAATGGATAAGCAAAATGTGGTCTATACATACAATGAATATTATTCAGCCTTAAAAAGGAAAGAAGTACTACCACATGATATAATATGGATGAGCCCTACGAACATGCTGAGTGAAGTAAACCAGTCACAAAAAGAAAAATGCAGTATGATTCCACTTATATGAGGAACTTAGTCAAATTCATAAAGACAGAAACTAGAATAGCATTGCTGGGGTCTGGGGGGAGGAGGAAATGCAAAGTTGTTGAATGCGTAGGGTTTCGGTTTTACAATATGAAAAAGTATTGGAGATCTATTTTACAACAGTGTGAATCTACTTAACATGACTGAACACAGCGTGTACACACTTAAAAACAATTACAATGGTAAACTTTAGATTATGTGCAGTTTTTTGTCTGTTTTTGTTTTTTTACCACAGTTAAACATTTTAAGAAGGAAAATTCCATCCCATTAGCAGTCACTTCCCATTCCCTCCTCCCTCAGCCCTCGGCAATCACCAACCTGCTTTCTGTCTCTATAGATAGATTTACGTGTTCCGGACTTTTCATAAGAATGGAATCATACAATATATAATTTTTGTGACTGGAGTCTTTGTTTAGTATAATTTCTTTTTCTTTTTCTTGTTTTGTTTTGTTTTTTTTTTTTTTACGTTTCTTTATTTGTGAGAGACAGCAGTAGTGAGGAAGGGGCAGAGAGTGAGAGAGGGAGACACAGAACCTGAAGAAGGCTCCAGGCTCTGAGCCACTGTCAGCACAGGGCTTAACGCGGGGCTCGAACTCACGAACCGTGAGATCATGACCTGAGCCAAAGTCAGACGCTCAACAGACCGAGCCACCCAGGCGCCCCATGTTTAGTATAATGTTTTTAAGATTTTTTCCATGTTTTAGCATGTATCAGTATAATACTTCATTGCATTTTGTTGCCCAGTAATATTCCACTCTATGGATACCACATTTTATTTTACGCATTCATCACTTGATGAACATTTGGGCTCTTTCTCCTAATTGGCTATTATGAATAACGCTGCTATGAACATTTGCTTACAGATTTTTCTGTGGACATATGTTTTCATTTCTCTTGGGTGTATACCTAGGAATGAATACGCTGGGTCACATGGTAGCTCTATGTTGAATGTTTTGAGGAATTGAAAACCGTTTTCCAAAGTGGCTATACCATTTTATATTTCTACCTATGGTGATAAGGGTTCAGATTTCTTCACATTTACCAACATGTGTCATTATCTGTCTCTGATTATAGCCATCCCACTGGGTGTGAAGTGGTATCTCACAGTGGTTTTAATTTGCATTTTCCTGGTGGCTAATAATGTTGAGCATCTCACGTGCTTATCAGCCATTTGTGTATCTTCTTTGGAAAACTATCTTTTTAGATCCTTTGCCCATTTGTACTTGGGTTATTTATCTTTTGATTATTGAGTTATGAGTGTTAGTATATTCTCTATATAGGTCTCTTCTCAGACATATGATTAGTGAAGGTTTTCTCCCATTCTGGAGATTTTTTTTCACTTTCTTGATGATTTTCTTTGCCACACAGAAGTTTTTAATTTTGATGAACTCAAATTCATCTAAACTTTTTCTTTTGTTTCTTTAACCGATACCTAATCCAAGGTCACAAAGATTTATTCCTGTGTGTTCTAATAAGAGTTTTATCGTTTTAGTTCTTACATTTAGGTCTGTGATCTACTGTTTTTCTTTTTATAAGTTTCTTTATTTTGATAGAGGGAGTGAGCGGGGGAGAGGCAGAGAGAGAGGGCAAGAGAGAATTTCAAGCAGCCTCCACACTGTCAGCATGGAGCCCGATGGCAGGGCTTGGACTCAGAAACCATGAGATCGTGACTTGAGCTGAAACCAAGGGTTAGATGTTCAACCAACTGAGCCACCTAGGCGCCCCAGTCTGTGATCTATTTTGAGTTAATTTTTGTGTAGGTGTTAGACCTGGGTCCAACTTCACTTTTTTGAACGAGGATATCCAGTTGTCCTAGCTCCATTTGTTCAAAAAAATTATCATTTGTGCTGTTGAATTGATATGACATTCTTGTCAAAAATTAGTGGACCATTAAGGTAGGGGTTTATTTCTGAACTGAGTTCTATTCCATTAATCTATATGTTTATCGTTATATCAGTACAATCTGTCTTGATTAATGTAGCTTTCTAGTATGTTATGAAGTTGGGAAGTGGAAGTCTTCCAACTTTGTTCTTCTTTTTCAAGATTGGTTTGCTATTCTGAGTCGCTTGCATTTTTCATATGAATTTTAAGATTACCTCCTGCAAAAAAAGCTAGCTGAGATTTTTTTTAATAGGGATTGCATTGAATCTATAGGTCACTTTTGGAGCAATTACCTTGTGATTCATGAACACAAGATATCTTTACATTCATTTAAGTCTTTTTTAACTTCTTTCAACAATGTTCTGTAGTTTTTAGGGCATAAAATTTGTACTTACTTTGTTAAATTTATTCCAAAGTATCTTATTCTTTTTGATGCTATTTTCAATAGAATTATTTTCTTAATTTTATTTGCAGATTGTTCATTGCAAGTGTATAGTAATGTAATTGATTTTTTGTATATTATTCTTGTGTTCTGCAACCTTCCTGAACTCTTTTTTACTTTTAGTAGTTTTGGGGGGGTTTCTTGGGATTTTTTAATATATAAGATCTTCTCATTTGCAAACAGAGATAGTTTTGCTTTTTTCCTCTCTGATCTGGATGCCTTTTATTTCTTTTTCTTGCCTAATTGCCCTGGGTAGAACATCCAATACCATGTTGAATAGGAATGATGAGTGGACATCCTTGTCTTGTTTCTAATCTTAGGGGGAAAACATTTGGTCTTTCATCATTATGTGTGATGTTTGCTGTGAGTTTTAATAAAAGCTTTTAATAAAGGGTCCCTGAATTCCCTTTATTAGTTTGAGGAAGTTACCTTTTGTTACTAGTTTGTTGAGTGTTTTTATCCTGAAAAAGTATTTAATTTTGTGAAATGTTTTTCTGCATCTACTAGGATTATTGTGTGTTTTTTGTCTTTTTTTTTTCTACTTAATAAAATGTATTATAATAATTGGTTTTCAGATGTCAGACCAACCTTTTACTTCTAGGATAAGTTGTATTAGTTCTTACCTATTTGGTCTTGTACTACAAGGTTTTTGCTTGTTCATTCTATTTTCCTTTTTTTTTTTTTTTTTTTAGTTTGGTTATCTGAGATAGGTGAATTGACGTGTCCGACACCAAGTTCACAGTGAAATGATAATGGGATTAAATCTTGCATAGGATTAAGCAACTTTCCAGTCTTCTTCCTCTAGGTTCAGTCTATGAACATAAATCTCCCCTGAGCAGGAATATGTTTTTGTGTTGTAATTTGGCCAT